ACGCACCCAAACTGCCGCGAGAGGTGGCCCTCAAAGCGCATTGGCTGAGCGTCGATGGCGTTCAGCCGTCAATACCCGATAATCCGGCGCCTCTTTCGCGAGACCAGCAAAAGGAGGAGTGCGTCGACCCGAAGGTGGCCCTCAAGAAGGCGTCGCAACTGAAGCCCAATCAACACCAGAAGAATCAGATGGAAATGGTTAGAGCGAAACCGTTGGCCACTCACGAGCTCTCCGTTGAACAACAGCTGTACTACAAAGAGATGACCGAAGCGTGTGTGGGCTCTGATGAGGGCCGACGGGCGGAAGCGCTCCAGTCGTTGACACACGACCCGGGATTGCATGCGATGTTACCGCGAGTTTGCACTTTCATCAGCGAAGGCGTCAAAGTGAATGTCGTTCAAAACAATTTAGCACTTCTTACATGTTTGATGCGAATGGTTAGAGCGCTTCTCGACAATCATAACCTCTACCTCGAGAAGTACTTACACCAACTCATACCCGCTGTCCTCACGTGCGTTGTGTCCAAACAACTGTGCGGTCGACCCGATGTCGACAATCATTGGGCGCTCCGAGACTTTGCGGCCCGCGTTTTGGCCCAAATTTGCTACAACTTGAACACAACCACTAATTGTGTTCAGACGAGAGTCACTCGACTGTTGAGCCAACGCCTGGATAGGGATAGCCTACCGCTGAGCTCGTGTTACGGCGTTGTGTCCGCTCTCTGCGAGTTAAGCCCTGAAGTTCAGCGAACTTTTCTCTTCAAACGATTCAAATTAATCGGTGAAAGAATTCGCGTGTATTTCGAGACACCAAACGTGTCCACAGATAAGACACTCCTCACCGCCGCAGACAAGTCGGCCGCCGATCGCATCAAACAGTTATTGCTTAACAAACTTCCGCATTTTCTTAGCGTAAGTATTCATTCATTTGACACATGTTTCTAACTATTGAATGAATGCATTGTTAACAGACATCTCGACCCATACCTGACGTTCTGGAAAAGTACAAAACAGAATTCGGATATTTAGGTCCCGCTCTTCATTCGGGTATTCAATTGTTTGTGTAAATTATCAAATATTTGTATTCATTTCAAACCCAAAGCTGTGGTGCGTTCGCGATCTGTGGCAACACAAGTGGTTCACACAATTGGCTCTCAATTGGAAACTTTGAAAAATTAGCATTTTAATAATAATAACTTAATTTATATTATAATAAAAAATATTTTATTTTGATAAATATCAATAAATCTTTTTATTAAAATACTGATTTATTATAAAAATACATTTTTACAAATGATTGCATTCACAGAAACAAGTGTTAAGCGAAAGTTATTTGAAATAAGTTTCCATATATTATAGCGAATGGAAACACAAATCGAGGCATTGATCACAAGCTTTGAGACAAACACACAGTATATGAGAGTTAAGTCTTAAGAGACAACTTTATGTACGCTTTAAACTGGAGAGTAAAACAATGGACCTCAGACTCTCTCTCTCTCTCTCTCTCTCTCTCTCTCTCTCTCTCTCTCTCTCTCTCTCTCTCTCTCTCTCTCTCTNCTCTCTCTCTCTCTCTCTCTCTCTCTCTCTCTCTCTCTCTCTCTCTCTCTCTCTCTCTCTCTCCACTTTCATAACCGATTCTGCGCTTAAAAATATTTACACCTCTATTTACGACCCTTTATTCAAAAATATTTCACATTTTACATGCAATGCTTACGTTTGGTTACATAACATGTTATCTCTTATTATGTAATGTAAGCCGAAGTATTAGTCCTATTATCAGAAGTTATTTCATATAGTATTATAATAAATAGTACACAATATTGTTTAGAACTTTATAATATAAATATATTATAATGTCTGAAATGTATTATATTATTATATTATATTACATTATATTATAATGTCTGAAATGTAGTTATGATGTAATTTTGCATAACTTTTATAGCAAAGAATTTTAACATTTTGTGACATTTGACTACATTTTGTAAATAAATTTGATTGCTTTTAATAAACTTATTATTTAAAGCAATAATAAAATCATCCAATCATTTGCTCACAAGATATGGCACAACAGACGAAACACAAGAAGACATCACTCGTGACCACAGATGACGGCAATGAAGACAACAGACAACAGGTATTTCACAATTATTGACTGTTTATTGAGTTTTAATTATTTTTGTTAAAATTTTAGGCACAAATGTATGCGAAGAACTCAATGGACAGATTCGGTGATGATATGTGTGGACTCATATTGTCTTATCTCTCACTCGAAGATCGGTTTCGATGCGAATGTGTGTCCAAACAGTTCCAGAGGACAGTCTTCGAGAGTGTTGTGAGCATTCAAATAAACCAACAGTTTATTAATAAATTAATGTATAATAAGAGGATTGACATCCCATATGAATCAATTAATCTCATAGTAAGGTATGTATTAGTCAATGAGTATACTGTATATTAAGATTGAATACAATATAAAGCTACAATTTACTATGTACAATTTATTTATCTCACAGATTTACAGATAACATGTAATATATAAAGTATTAGGAGTTTTATATACATTATTTAAGAGAATTTGAAAATAAATCTAATTTTGTTAAATGAATAATAATAAACAAATATACTGTATCTGTATTATTATTGTAGTATTATTTAATAATTAGTATCTCTATATGCAAAGTATATTGTATTTAATCTTAAAATTTTTAATATAAACTCATTAACTAATATATACCTATGCAATTGATTCAATCATAATCACGAAAGTTTGGTTAAGACGATTGACGTCCAAATGTTGGCCAAAATCGCCGAAAAGTGTCCAAACATTCAAACCATTGATTGTCAAGAAATAACTCCCAGATATGAAGAACACATTTCCGAAGTGTTGAACACATTTCGAGACAATTGTCGACATTTACGGGAAATTTATTATAATTTGCTGTCAAATAGCAATAAATTACTCAAACGCTTCGGACCTCTGGTCACACGAGTCTCTTCGATATCATTTTCTAATAAACATTCACTCATTCATTGCCACCGATTATCTCAATTAAAAGCCGAACAGTTGTTGGATGTCTTATACAGGACTTCCGGACTATTGCCGCAGAATTTACAAAAAATTGAATTAAATTCTATTGACAGCCAAAAACATTTGCCTGAATTCGTGGCACAGAATCAGTCCCTCCGATGTCTTATTGTAAAAAACATTTATAATATAAGCTTAATGTGCGGACATTTGTCACAATTAACACAATTATGGGAATTAAGTCTCGGAATACAGATATTTGAGAATCATGGCATAGTATCCGCCGTTTTGTATATGATTGGCGTGAATTGCAAACAATTGAAACGATTGGCACTCGTATTGAACTCCAGGTCTAAAGAAATGAATGACAAGATATTAAAAGCGTTGAAATTTTATTCCCGATTAAAACGATTGCATTTAACACTCTTTGCGGCCATCGATGAGAACTCTTTAGAACCGTTGAAACTCTGCCAACGATTAACACATTTGACACTTGATTTAAATGCGATTACAGCTAAATTACCGATTGAATTTGACAAACAGTGGACACGACTTCAATATCTATGCATTCATATAGAAAATCACACGATTGACATCAAGTATTTGGATCACATCTCAAGACTACCGGCGCTGCAAACGCTTGTCATTCACTGCCGTTATTATAAGGATCTCAACGATAATCATATCGAAAACCTGTTCCCCGAAAGACCTAAACTAAAACTTATTAAAATCCATGGAAACAATGTCTCAAAAAATTATTGCCGTAAAAATATTTTATATTATAATTACTGGTTTAATAACCCTTCGGTTATTTCCTTTGGAATCCGTGATCTGACACTTGAAAGCCTGTATTCTTAATAATTCTATGATTGTTTGACATTAATTAAAATATTTCTGATATACTATTTTTATGAATTAATTGCTATATATTTCCATTCAATTTTATCATTATACTATATTTACTCAAATATAAACACATGTGAAAATTTATTTAATCATTTTATAATTATTATTCAATTTTTATCATTACAATGAAAGTGAATTAAGCATAGCTTTTGTATTACATTATAGTTAGTTATCATGAAAAATAGAGTTTGTATTGTCATGGATATATGTTTTAATTTTGTTTTAATTGTACTAATTTATTGTATTAATCAAATCCGTATCTCTCAATTGGAAACTTTGAAAAATTAACATTTTATAATAACTTAATTTATATTATAATAAAAAATGTTTTATTTTGATACATATTAATAAATATTTTTATTGAAATACATGGGTTTGAATAAATAATTGTGAGATTTATAACAAAATACCATTTTTATAAATAATTGCATCCATAGAGAGATGTGTTGAGTGAAATTCATTTGAAATAAGTTTTCAAAAACAGCAAATCGAAACACAATCGAGTGTTCGATCATTATTACAATTAAGTATAAATAAGTTTTACTATTAAAAGTTTGAACACTTTAAAATGTACAACTAAACCACTGCATCTCTCTCTCTCTCTCTCTCTCTCTCTCTCTCTCTCTCTTTGATGC